TCTTTTTTGGGTGTCTAGCATCTATGTCTATATTTATAAAAGAAAAAAAAAATATTATAGATTATTTGTCTAAAAATAGCTGAATACCATATCTACAAATGCTATTATGATTATATAGTAGGTTTCATTTCAAGAATTACTTTCCACAAATAGATTTTTGCAAGAGAAAATTATTAAAAATATCTATATTTACTTTTACAAAAATTTAAATATCTCTGCAAGCTTTTGTCTATTTGGCTTAAAATTTTATATTCTACTAGATCTAAGATATGCTCTACAAAACTTATTTAATACACAACTTTGATTTTATTAATAGAATTTTTCATAAATCATCATCGTATATAGAGTATTTTCTATCAATATAATAAAAAAATATAGATGTTATTTTATTAATTTAAGGTTATATTAATAAAGTAAAATCTATTTTTAAAAAATTCTAATACAAATATGATGACTCATACTGAGTCAGTTCAATTGACATATTAAAAATTATATATCAAGACTAATATTCTAACTATAGACAGTTAAATAATTTTATTAGATATTCAAAATAACAAAAACAGATAACAAAATCATAGGACTTAATTTTAATTTTTATTATTTTAATTGAAAACAATTTGATTTTTTAATCAAAAACTTTTTTAACAATCCTAAAACTTGTTCTTTCAGAGAATTTGTTTACCAATATGAGAAAATTATAAAGCAATACAAGAACATGATTGTCATATTCAAGCATTTTTTATTTTAATAAATCAAGCAAGACTTTCTAGTATCTATGAAAAATTACAAATTGACAATGTGCTTCAAAAATGGCATTATAACCTAGTTCGAAGTGAAAAAGATTCAAGAGAATATTCTGAAAAAAATTACAATAAATGTAAAAAATATCATCACCAACCTATTGATAGAAATGATTCAAGATGCAAAATTAAAAAAGCTATTTTAGAAATAGTAAATAATAATAATTCCGAAAACAAGATTTTTGTAACTTTATATAGATGTTCTTATAAAAACTTAAATAATCTTGCAAATTGTGTTTGGTATACACTTGAATATTATTCTCAACATATTTTTGCAAGATATGATTCTGAATCTAGACTATTTCATTATATACTAGAAAATTATAAAAAAAATCAAACAATCCTAACAGAAATAATTAATATACTAAAGAAAACTCTTCTGAAAAAATAATAGATGATTTATTTATCAAAAACAAATCTAGTAATGAGATTATAGTAGAAATATGCAAAATAATTTTAGATAGGTAGAAAATAATTTAAACTATATTTATACATTATGTTAAGCCAAAAAAAATATTGAAAAAAAGAAAAATAAAAGATGCTAGAAGCCTGCAACAATATTTTTTTATAGTGACAAAAGTTAAGTTGGAAAAGGTTATTTGTTTTCATTACTTTTTCTAAATGCATACGAACGTAAAAGTGTTGATGGTAGATTTTGGCAAGATTTTAATAGTTCATATGAAGAAGTTTTGATTAACGAATTCAAAGATCAGATTAAATATTTAGAACTCTTAAATCTTCTTGATCCAAAAAATTATAGTGTTCAAATAAAAAGTTAAGAAAATGAAAATTTTTGTTCAAAGTGATTAGATTTTCTGCAAACACAAATATTAGATTTATTTATGATTTTTGTGAAGATGAAGAATTAAAAGCTACATCAGAACAGAAATTTAATAATACAAAATTA